GGGGAGGGAAAGCGAGAGAGAGAGAGAGATGGAGAGAGACGGAGAGAGGGAGGGAGAGAGACAGAGAGAGATTGAGGGGGAGGGAAAGAGACAGAGAGAGATTGAGGGGGAGGGAGAGAGAGAGATTGAGGGGGAGGGAAAGAGATGGAGGGGGAGGGAGAGAGAGAGGTGGAGAGGGAGGGAGAGAGAGAGAGAGATATATATCGAGAGAGAGAGAAATAGAGAGAGAGATGGAGAGAGATATAGGAGAGAGGAGTGGGAGAGAGAGAGGGAGAGAGAGAGAGTGAGAGAGAGAGAGAGAGAGGGGGGGAGAGAGAGGGGGGGGGAGAGAGAGAGCGAGAGAGAGAGAGAGATTTTTTTATTTTGCCAAGTTCTACCCAAAGGCATCAAGAATCTTACCGTACTTCTCTATATAAGAGCAACATCGCTCCACAATGCGGGGCACTTGTCTGTATATCGGATTCAAACTCAGAGGAAGGGTGCCGCTGTCTTTCTGCTGAAAACTCAGTTCTTCTGAATGTGACAACTGAAGGGCCTCCAGAAGACGATCTTCTCCATCGTCCAGCTCTGTTATGGAATCCACGGAGAGCGCCCCCTAAACACAACCAAGATTTAACAAGACCCGTAAGATTATTCAATAGCCTTGAGGGAAGTCCGTCAAGTATATGTACATGGCTCAGGATGGGACGCTTGTTTCAGTACAGTGCCCTTTACCCCTAGTCTGGTACCATCGGGTCTTGACGTTGAACCTTCATGTTTGGAGGAGCCATATCCAAATGTTAGCTTTTAATTGATGTTCTCCACAACATCACTCCAGATAGGAGAACGGGTGGGCTACGTGATTCTTGGACCAATGCCCAATGTCTTATGGAGATCATTTCATTCTTATTAATGGTGTTATATAGATTTATGAAACATTTTAATCTTCATGCGATTCTCTGACTCCGTATGGTACTTTAAAAGTCCCACATTTTTCTTGTGTACACTTGGGAAAAGTAGCTATATACAGAACTCCTTCCTACAGGAGTGGAAGCCGCAGTAATAATTTCCATAGCAGAGTTTATTTAGTCTTTGGACTGATTCTGCTGCTGAAGATCAACTGCCTGAGCTACAGAGTCAGAGCTAGCAATCATGGAGGACTGCCAACCCTACTGCAGGCTGCTTCCAGGACAAGCCCTAAGACCGTCTTCCAAGGACAGGTAGCTGCAGGCAGTATTACGGGTATATAGTGGTAGGAAACTGGTTATAGAAACTAAAGGGCTGGCGTGTGAGCTGGCAGAACCACGCACATGCACGTCATACTCAATCAGATGTGTGCATGTAAAACTGAACTTCAGGCCAACAGCTAAATACACAGATGAAGCACAGATAACGGAGGTGTTTTGCCTGCCAAAGTATTTGTTATACTGTACATCCAGTCCTGAGGGTTCCAAGGCTCTGCCACATAGCGCCGTCCTCTCTGATAGGGCAGAAGACCGTGTCCATCCCCCAGACACAGCACGGCACCATCATGTCTTATAGGGCAGACGACCTTGTCCATCCCCCAGACATAGCACTGTCCTGTCTTATAGGGCAGAGGACCTTGTCCACCCCAGAGACATAGCACCCTCCTGTCTGATAGGGCAGAAGACCTTGTCCATCCCCCAGACATGGCACCGTCCTGTCTTATAGGGCAGAAGACCTTGTCCATCCCCCAGACATGGCACCGTCCTGTCTGATAGGGCAGAAGACCTTGTCCATCCCCCAGACATGGCACCGTCCTGTCTTATAGACCGTCCTGTCTGATAGGGCAGAAGACCTTGTCCATCCCCCAGACATGGCACCGTCCTGTCTTATAGGGCAGAGGACCTTGTCTACCCCCCAGACATAGCACCATCATGTCTGATAGGGCAGAAGACCGTGTCCATCCCCCAGACGCAGCACCGTCCTGTCTGATAGGGCAGAAGATCGTGTGCATCCCCCAGACATAGCACCATCATGTCTGATAGGGCAGAAGACCGTGTCCATCCCCCAGACGCAGCTCAGCACCATCATGTCTAATAGGGCAGAAGACCTTATCCACCCCCCCAGACATAGCACCCTCCTGTCTGATAGGGCAGAAGACCGTGTCCATCCCCCTGTTAACCACCATAGGCTTATTCTGGTTATGGAATCTGGTGGGATTTGGAGCACATCTGTTCCATATCTTTGGCTATCTGGAGACCAAAGACAACCAAGCTGGTTATGGAATTCGGTGGGCTTTGGAGCACATCTCTTCCACATCCTTTGATGCATATTACTTCTTGGATGATGGGATTTGTGGCTGCTCCCCTGTTTGGCTTTATATTGTAGATGATATTTGGCCAGTGATGTTAAAGGGACAGCTTTAAACCCTCCAAAGTTCTACTCCAGTTCTCTTTGGGCCTGCCTCTATATCATTAGGCATCTATAAACCACCATAGGCTGAATCTGGTTATGGAATTTGGTGGGCTGTGAAGCTCATCCATTCCACATCCATCAATGCATCTTTCTTGGATGGACTTTGTTGTCTTCTGTTTGGATCTACATTGTAGATGTTATTTGGCCAGTGATGGTGAGAGTCAGCTGCTAACACTCCACAGTTCTCCTCCAGGCCTTTTTTGGGACTGCCTCTATATCTTTGGCTATCTGGAGACCATCAGAGGCCCAAGCTGGTTATGGAATTTAGTGCACTGTGAAGCACATCTGCTCCACATCCATCAATGCATCCCTCTTGGATGATGAACGTTGTGGCTGATCTTCTGCTTAGCTCCATACTGTAGATGGCATTTGGCCAGTGATGTTAAGGGCCAACCTCACATTCTTCACAGTTCTCCTCCGGTTTCTCCTGGTCACTGCCCCTATATTTCTGCCCATCTGGTGACCATCCAAGGCCTATTCTGGTTATGGTTTCTGGTGGGCCGTGAAGCACATCTGCTTCACATACATCAATGCATTCCTCTTGGATGATGGACTTTGTGACCGCTCTTCCGATTGCAGTGTAGATGGGATTTGACCAGATGTTAAGGGCCAGCCTCAAATATCTGTTTTAGAAGACTCCAAGTTTATGGATTATTATATTTGTCATCTTCCATGATTCATCACGCTTACACAGGTGGGCTTCCGATGGCGACTACAAGAGGCCGCTTCAACATACATCTCACATACACTGAACCACCCAGATCCAACAGTCGCCTTGCGCAGTGACCACTAATGCACTCGCACCTATCCGGGTTACAAAGACTCCTTCTCCATTAAGGTGATCTGGGCAGAGGACTTGTATCAAAAGACACATCAGCCTGGACTACTAATGAAGGAATGAAGGCTTCTGTAACACCCCCCTCCCCCCTTTCCCCCAGGATCTAGCATTTACTATGCTGTTATTTAAATTTGACCTCCGGCCTTCCCTTCAAAAGGACAATTTATAAATGGATTTTTGTGATCCAGTTTTTATAGTCACCCGTGTAATAAATGTTACCTTTGAAGGACATGTAACTTCTTGTAGCGCCGTACTGTAACCATAAAGCAATAAATCCGCTTATCTAAACGTCCTCTGCGCGGAACACCTGGCTGGAGTACAGCACACATGACTCAGACGTGATCCATTGTGTTCCCTATCAGGAAACCCCGCCCTGAGAAATGGCATGCAGACAGGTAGGCAGGAAGTGGCTGCAAAGAGGCCGCGGGAGGCCAGCAGCAGTGAGATGTAACAAAAAAACAAGGATTTTATTTTTAAACTGGCAATTATTCTTTACACGCGGTGCTTTAGCAAAGGTCATTCCATTTTAGGTTTATATCTTCCTTGTTGATACATTTGTAAACACAGAAACCGCTGTTTATAATGCGCTACCAGATAGGAAATGATGTCATGTTGTTACTATTAATATAAAAATAGCTTTGCCTAGCGACTAATGAGTAGCGGGCAGTGAATGGGTTATGAGCACAGTGCTATCGATCTATTGGTTATACCTAGGAGAGTAAACACGGTGGGCAACTTGAGAACCCGGTGCGAACCCAAGCTCATCCTAATCTGGATGGATCTCCCGCCCAATCAGCTCCGGTCGGGGCATTCCCTGCCCCCCTGCCTGTGCTGATGTCACTGACCTTATATGGCCATATGACCATATAAGGTCAATGTAATGTACCTAACATAGCCCTGTGGCCATATAAGGTCAATGAAGTCACTGCACCCCGCCCCTTTGCTTACATCATCAAGCTGATTTGGAGCCCATGTTCAGTCTAAACCTGAGCTCATCACTATTGGCAACCAAGGCGTTCATTGCTATTTATTGGCTTTCATCTTTTAACCAGTTGACATCCGCGGTGTTAAACCCCCTTCCCATCCCGGCCATTTTTCAGTATTCAGCGCTGCGGTACTTTGGCTGACATTTATTCCGTCATGCAGCGCTGTACTGAAATTAATTTTATACCCTTTTTTGGGGACAGATAGAGCTTTCTTTTGGTGGTATTTATTCACCACTGGGGGTTTTATTTTTTACTATATTAAGGAAAAATTACTGAAATTTAAAAAAAAAAACAAAAAAAAACTATATGCGAATCACCCGGTAACGGGTGTTTGCATTGGTCGGATCTTTTCTGCCCGCTGCAGTGCCGTCTATCCGTCTTTTTTACAACAGGCGGACGGCAAGTGGTTAATAAAGTGAATTAAAATGAAAAAAAAAAAATTACTTTTCAGTATTATTATTATAGAGGATTTATATGGCGCCAACAGTTTGCGCAGCGCTTTACAATATAAGGAAGACATTACAATCACAATACAATTCAAGACAAGATGGTCAGGAGGGCCCTGCCCGTGAGGGCTTACAATCTAAAAGGGGAGGGGGAAACGATACATGAGGAGGTAGCTGTGTGATTCAGTAGGGATCATTGGTTATAATGAAGTGATGCACATCACTTATTTACCAGCCTGACCTGCGCTTTGGCCCCTAGATGGAGCCGAGGAGCATAGGAAAGCAGTATTTAATTTCCTCTGCTCCATCTAGTGGTCATAATGTGCTATTACAACACATTACATTCAATCTGGGGAAAATAAGTTAAAAGGAGAACTATAAGGTGAGTGAAAATCACTCAGCCTCATAGTTCGAGCCGACGTGTGACAATGAGACTGTCACAGGTCGGCTCAATAGATCGGGAAGTGAGCGAACACATACCGTCGCTCGCTCACTTCTCGATCCTGTGCCTAAAGAGTGCAGTGACCGTCACTCATGGCTCCCTGCAGGGATTCCCCTCCTCCCCGCTCCGATCCTCCAGCGCTGACTGGCGGAACGGACGGGGGAGGAGGCGGGTACAGCTGGCTCTGCCTCTAGATAGGCAGAGCCAGCTGTCACTCACGCAGCTGGGTGGATCCAGACAGTAATGTCGGGATCCGTCCCGGCTGCGGCTTCTCAGTATATAGGGAGCTGTAGCTCGCGGTATACTGAGCTTTGGGTGACGGGTGGGCGCACCTATATGTCCTCCCGTTACCCTTAAGAGAACTATGGGGAAAAACACTGACCCCATAGTTCTCGTTTAAGAATAAAACTATAAAATACATTAAGAACATTTGTTTTTGGCATTATTCACCCAAAAATAAACATT